CTAATCGTGAGATAATAATCGATTGAATGGTAAAACATATATAAAATACAAATAAGAAGATTCACTCAATCATTATCTGATAAAATAACTCCAATTACTTTAACAATGCAATTGAGATATAAAAATACGTCTATTTTAATGTAAATTTACAACCATTCAAATGAGATGCCATTTAAATATTTAATTAAATAACAAATTTAAGTATAAATAATTTTTAATCAGACATTTATAGTAAACAATTTAGTGATAAACATATGATCACATTTATAATTATTAATTAAGTAGTGTTATGTGGAAAACAATGTTTATTAGCCATTGTGTTTTTACTCGAGTTGTCTGTTTAAAAGGTATTTATGCATAAATTATAAATAATTAAAAATATTTTCTATTCAAGGCTTAAGTTTAATAGTATTTTATTTTCGGCAACAGATGTTACTGTAAATCCGGATTCTGTTTATGGATTCTGTTATTATATTAAAATATTTTTACATTTAAGTAAATATATTAATAATTTATAAATTATAATAATTAATAGTTAAGACGTGTTTTTAAACAATACAAATATTCATACCCTGAATGACTCCCAAGAAAATAGTGATTTGAATGATATCTGTGGCCAAATAGCAGATGGATGTGGCGAATGAGCAAATAAGTACACCCGTGAACACCAGTGTCCGGATCTGGNAGTTAAGACGTGTTTTTAAACAATACAAATATTCATACCCTGAATGACTCCCAAGAAAATAGTGATTTGAATGATATCTGTGGCCAAATAGCAGATGGATGTGGCGAATGAGCAAATAAGTACACCCGTGAACACCAGTGTCCGGATCTGGAAATAATGGCTCAAAAATGCGGCCAATAAACCGGTAATACTCGCAAAGCTGCCGATTAGGGACACCGGCCACGAGGCCTGTCGGTACGTACAGTCGTACTCCGACACAAACGCACCTTAAATGAACAAAATTAGTAATTAATAGAATTAACTTTTAATTTACAAGTTAATAATTTTTGAAACACATGATAAAAAGTTTAATTAAATATTTTTTATAATTATTAATAAATTTATACGTATTCTGTATAAAAATTATTATATAAATTATTTGCGTTAATTCATACCGAATAGGAGTCCAATTGATCGGAATATACCGAAAGTGAATACATTAATCCAAGAGCACGAGAACGCTATAATCCATTTCCAATATGTGGGTGTATTTTGATCCAAATTACCCTTGTTTATTTTTGTTGACATTATTTCACAAATACAGTACTTTTTTCTTGTTATTTATTGTATAGTCATTACTAATTGTCATAACATTTTGTATGTATATTTAGGTCATTTGCATACAAATATGCATACAATTAGTTTATGTTGATTTACAATACAATTAATTAACTGTTTCGTTTGATTGCTTTTATTAAAATATAATTTGCCTATATATGAATAAATAAACAATATTAGTTTTAATGATTTTATAAATAGATCAATTTATTCAATTAATATTACAATGTATTTGTGATCAACATGTATTTTTTTATGAACATTATGCTTAAAATAAATTATTATTAATTATAATTTATAATTAAGTAAGTAGGATATCTTTATTAGTTATCTAGAATATTAAGCTACTGTATGCAATAAATTGCTGTATTAATACCTCACTATTATTAATTGATGTGTTGTTTACTATAATTTATATGACATTTAGCCTGAAATTTCTCATTTAATCAATAATAGAGGAATCAGTGGCGGAAATGTGATTATATTATGTATATTTGTTATACAAACCCATTATCACAAATAACTATAGAATTTGCTATAAGTATTTCATAAGACATTTATGCAATTAATTTAATTTCCTGTTAATTATTAATATATTTAATTATAACTATATTTAAAACTAAATATTATACTAAACCCTTTTAATTAAGTATAAGTGTTAATAGATAAATTTATTTTACTAAAGTTGGTAAAATTAATTTGAAACAATAGTAAAACTTACATGTTTTAGTTACCAAATAAAGTTGTATTTTATGCTAATTTACATTTAATTTATTCGCGTCTCTAAGTTTATATTCACTCAATTCTTTGAATCCAATAATTTATTCACTAATTAAATACATTTATCATTCAATGATTGGTAAATATGATACACATACTGTTTATATAAATATCAGCTAAAAATATTAAATATAATATAACAAATGTAAAACTAGTTAAATCAAATTGTTATCACATAAACAGTGTTTCCTTTTTTTGCTGTTAACAGAATTCAAATGTGATTTGATTTCAAAATATTTTATTTTTGCTTGTATTTGAAGAAACACTTTAAATAAGAAATTTTGCCGAATATTTATTTTGATTTTTGATTACAATTTTATTTTCACTCATATTTCACACATACAACAAAATTGGACGACAAATATATCAGTTTTTTTTATATTAAAATATTATTATTATTATCCCTTCTTATATTTACTTTTTATTTGCACTGAAAACACATTTTCAATCGGATTTATAATATAATGTTAAAAGTATTTTAACAAT